AGAATTATACTCTAAAAAGTAAATCGAATTTGTTTCAAGCATCGAGTTTGAAGTGTCTTCTTTTTTTTTTTTTTTTTTTTATAAATATTTTAACTTTGACGTTAAAGACAATAGGGGACAAATTCCAAACCGTACAATAGTGCATGTTTTGTTTATGATTTTCTTGTGATTTTTAATATCGAATCGAGTTTGAGTTGCCACCGTGTGTCACATGATCATTTGCCTAATACAGCCAATTATCATGAAGTTATGTGAGTGGTAGAGTTAGATATGAGTGGTAGTACTAATTTTTGCATTCCACTAACCTTTCTTTTTCCCCATCTGATTGGTTGGTTTCTACTTAATAATTTCTGCATCAACAAAGCATATGTTTGTTAGTCAACTGATGAAGCTTCTTCTTAATACATGGTATGAGGCAATTTTGTGGTATCTATCTTTCGGAGTCCCTTCTTGACCTTTTCTAACAGAAGTTAGAAATTCGATTTTTTATAAACCTAATTCTCAGAAGAAACTTCTCTGTTAGAAATTCGATTTTTTATGAACCTAACTCTCAGAAGAAACTTCAAAAGCCGGCAACTTTTGAGGTCCTTCCAAGAACTTATAAATCCAAACCCAACTTTCGGAGTCCGCGTCATCGATCTTTTCAGAGGTTTTAGTTTATGATGCCCCATACGGCACTAGTCTCAACGTGGACTCGGCAAATATGCCAAACGCAGAGAATTTATAATTTAGAGTCCACCCCTTCTTCTCCCCCACCCTCACTCTTCACATCAACTCATTAAACTTCATCTTCTTCTTGGCTCCATGCAGACCGTGTCCACGGCATCTGGCCCAGTTTCAAACATATCTTATAAAGCAACCAAGTCAAACCATGCACAGTGCTTATTTCTCAATGACTGGTACAGTGTGAATAGGGTTCGGAGTGATCGGAAATTTGTTGCTTTACTAGTCTCTATTAATTTATGAATTCTACTCACTGCAATTTTGACAGTTATAGATATGTATAAAATTTTCTCAAATTTAGGAAAAAAAAATGCCTATAATATAAGAATACCGAAATAGAATCACAGTCAATTTGAGAAAGTTCGCAGTTAAAGAGTAGCCTTATAAGTAACTTCGACAATTATATGATGCAAAGTATTCCTGTTTCCTCATTTTTATTACTTATAGTTTCTGTTTCGGGGTTTTGAAATGTAAATGCAACCCATTTTTTCTCATGCGTCCATTCCAAGCCCTTTTTATTAAAGGAAAAGAATTAGTCCGCGATAATATGATGGTCTTCTTCTTCGACTGCTGCTGTCTTTTGGAATCTTTTGGGAAAAGAATGAATTTTTCAACGCTGAGGGAAGCAGACGTACAATTTTTACTGGAGCAGTTTAGCCTCAGTTGGATTTTCACCTGCAAACGAATCAAACCGCTTGCGAGCCGATCAAAGCTCGAGTGGAATTTGAGTCGATCAAGTTGAATATAAAGATGCTCAGTTGGTTAGCTCACGAGTCGATTCAATTATATATATTATTTTTATTTTAATACTAAATTATATATATCTAATATTTTTATTAATTATTAAGAAAAATAAATATTTTATTCATTTTTAAAAAAATAAAATAAATACTTTTTATTTCTCAAAGTATTTAAGAGGCTCGAGTTCGAGATCGACTTCAAACTTTATCAAATTGAGTTGAGGATCGACTCGACTAAATCAAAATTTGACTTGATTCGACTCGGCTCATTTGCAAGTTTTTCCTTTAAATAGACTCGAACTGCTGAACCTATTATATTTGATGCAACGTAACGTTCGACTGGAACCAGAAGTGCTGGAGAAACATCGCCCTTAACCCCACTTCAAGCTAACGTCACGGCTGAGCTGTTTTGAATCTAATCACTTGGAATTTTTATCATCAAACACTGCCAAAAGAAACTTTTACACTCTTATCTACAGAGACAAATAACCGTGAGAGGTATATATGCCGCAAGTAGTGATTATCTTTATGTTCTTTATCCATGATTATTGAGTCAAGTAGCAAGGAGTTTATATGCCTTAAATAAGGCAAATCACTCTCTCGGAAGCTACTCATGGTGCTCGACTCTGAATTAGTGGAGTCTAATATGATCACCAAACATCGACGGTTTTACCATTAAAATTTTTAAAAAAAAAAAAAATTTCTTCATGTTCTTTTTATTTAAAAAAAATTTAAATTTTTTTTGCAGGAATCAGCAATATAGAAATATGTAATTAACTAAATAGCATGCAGCAGACCAAGGATGTTATGTCATTTCTACGAAATTAATTTGCAATTTTCGATTCCCTTTGACCATAATGGTGACTCCAATAAGAGCATAAAGTTAGTGCACTCCGATCCGATGTGTGGTAGTATTAATTTATGCTACTAGGTAGCCAGATTCGTATAATTCTTGATTTGGTCCATACATTAAAAACCATTTGCCAAGTCATCCAAATTCGAGACCAAGTCAACCATGAATACAGCCAGCCAGGCTCCTGTATCCACAACATCATAAAGGCAAAGCTTTAAGGGCATAAGCCTTTTTTTTTTGGGGTAAATAAATTTAGGAGACTTCAATCACCATCTTAGACTTGGAGCATCTGGGATCAAGAGCAAATCAATAGGAAAATGGCTCAAGAAGTAAATCAAGACGGACCCAAGTGCAGAAATGCAAACTGAAGACAAAAAGGTTTGGAAAAAAAGTGAAATAGGCAGATGCCTTTGACTTTGGGGCTGCGCTGCTGCAAATTAAAATAAATTGCTGTCTGTTGGTAAATTGAAAGAAACTTGACGGGTGAACTTTGTTCAACAACAGACGAATGATTGTCTTTCTTGATCGGTGTATGATACACATAAAAGCTATCCCAATTTGACTAGAAAAATCTTTTCTTTTTTCTCTTTTTTTTTTTTTTTGAAAGAACTAGCAAAATCTTTAGAGTTTAGAGATGAAAGTATGCATATTATCTTACGACGTGAAAGTAAAATATTCTGTGGGATTAGCCTCTTTATGAGCGAATTTAACTTCAAATAATAGGTTTAAAGAATTTTTTTTTTCACTGAAAAGTGACCTGTAATGTGAATACATTAATTGCAAAAATATGTAGTGTGCTGATATATTGACTTTCGAGCTTCTAACCATTTCAAGGGTGAAATTATTTTGAGCGACAGTCGACATCTGATATTGACTTTCGAGCCTCAAATCACCAATTTAATTTGGTAAGCTGACATGATCGCATGATGGTAAAAGTAAACGGAAGGAATAAAATGTGTTTGACATAAAATTGATACTGCTGCTTACGAGTTATGAGCGTCAATAATGGCACGCCAACACTAAATTGGTCCTCTTCTTGAAGAACTCCGCAAGCTACTAGAGATAACTAGCAGCAAATGAGAGTCTTCTTGCCCTTTTTCGAAGCTAACCCTGCAAGAATAAATGCATTATTCTGGAAATCACCACTACTGCAAAGTCTAAACCCTTTTGACCGGATCAAACCCAGGCTACGCGAGGATAATCTGCTGATTTAAGCGCCTCCATGTTGCAATTCTTTTCGTTGCTTTCAAATTCAAATTCGAATTATGTATCGTGCATTTAACTGTCAGTCAGTGGGTAGAAAAATAATCCAAACTTATATACTATACATGTAAATGAACATTATTCAACTGAAGGGTGTTCTATCACATGTCTCGAGCTTCTGAGCTCAAAATCAATCTTAACCATTTAAAATCCAAACAAGGCAATATTAATAATCAACCCCACTTGACAATTACTACTACTAAGTACTAACTTATGATAATTACCGAGGCCTGTTTGTGAATTAATGTGCTCAGTACATTTACACCATCTTGACCGGGTGAGATTAATGCGTTTGTTTGGCCTCTTTGACATGGGCAAGATGATGTAGATGAGATGTCAGCATCATCTTGGCAACCCTTTTTTTTTTTTTTTGGGGTGGCAAAGAGTTGCAGCATCTTGACTTGACTTTTGTTCACCCTCTGTCCGCCGTACACAGCAGCTGGACCACATTATTGATTGCACACAAGAATATAACCATTCTTTCTAAACTTCGCTGCTTTCCAGAAACAAATTAAAGCAGTAATCATTTTGTTTTCTTTTTGGTAATAATTCGCAAATAAAAAAGAACTACTACCACATTTAAAATCCAATTGATATATGCCACAACATTCACGATTGAAAAGAGGCAAATTTAACCACCGCTTAAATTTTCATTTTTTTTTTAATAAAAATTTAGAAGAGATGATGGCGTACAGTCAATGCATCAGAGATCTTTATGATTGGTCGACGTTTTAGCCAAGTGTATATATTATTGGCTTTCTTTTCCTGGATGCTTGAAATTTTCAAAAAAGGGTAGTCCGCCGGGAAATCCAAGATCATTGAAATTTTGTTTTTTCTCTCTTAAAATGGGAGAAAATTATATAATTTAAAATAAATAAAAAGAACAGAAGAGAAGCAAAAATGTAGGGGATTGAGGAGTGAGAGACACGTAGTGAAGTAAGAGTCGAGACACGCAATTGTCGTTTTCTGGAATGGACCGAACCAGTGGGGGGGGGAAGGAAACTACACCTAAAAGGCTAGCAAGGAAGGTGGCTGCCTGACCCTGCCTCCCATTTTCGTTGCACTTTCTCATCTCTTTCCTTCTTTTCACTCCAGTAAAAATTCCCCCCCAACTCCAACTCCAACGAACTAATTCTATCGCGTCAATGATGATGTATCATGTGAACTGAACGCCGTTTTCTCAAAATTTTTGTTTCTGTATTACCACGCTTTTCTCCTCTCCATTCTATTCATATGGGAATAATTTTAACAGCACAGTGCTGCCCCTCGATCCTCAGTTAAAAGTAATCGTTTCTATATTTAAACAAAATATCACCTCCTCTTCTCTCTAACACTTCTTTATTTCTGTCCATCTATCTAATACTCCTATCTATCTCCTCGTGCCAAACTTTTCTACGCCACCTTTTGAGCCATTAGCTTCAGTTCACAACAATAAGTAGTGGACTGCTGTCAAGAAAGGATTTTTTTTTTCTGTATTCTTTTGATTATTTTTTCTTTCCATTTCATCTGATGGGAAATTGCTTAGGTTCTTCAGCAAGAGTTGATGCCACGCTTAGCTCCCACACCCTTCCTGGTACTTTGCTCAGTTCTCTGTTATCTTGATTGAAACTGGTTTATGGGCTTTTGGAAGAAAGTTATAATCTTGGTTCTTGATATAGTATTGTTTTTCTGGATTGTGGGCGCTGTATCGTCCTCAAGTTGACATCTTTCTACGAGTATTTGTTCAATATCTCTGCCTCTTTTTTTTTTTTTTTTGGCTTGACTTTGGTTCTGGCTTGTGGGTGTTCATGTTCTCGTGCTTAAGCAAAGCAGGATTTACCCTCTTCATCTCTTGTTTTGTTTTCGAGTCTATGGGTTCTTCATATTTGTTCCCTTTTGGTTCTGATTGCGCTCGGTTTTGCTTGTTGATTGTCCTTAACTCTGTGTTCTGCTATCCCTTTTGGTGGGCTTTGGGCTTCTGGGGAGGAGGGGAAGGGTCAGGTCTAAAGCCGATGAATTCGTTCTTAGGTTTATGCTCGAGAACCTGTTCTATCATCCGGCTCCCCCTTTTTTCTATAATTATTGGTGCATGGTCGGTTGAGTTGTCTTGGGTCTGAACATTGGGTATCCTGGCTGGAGTTATGCTTGGCTCTGCTTCTCTCAATTTTAGGCACGAGCTTTAACTTAATTTAGTGGCTTTGCTGGTTCAATTCCGGCTCACTTTCAGCTGTCATATCTTTGAAAGATCAGGTTGCATCACATGGTTTGAGGGCTAGTTTCTTGTTGAAAGATTTAATCTTTAGACATGAATGGATCAGAAGTTTGTTGATGTCTTTAAGACAAGCTTAATTGTATAACAAGCTTTTACGTTGTCCTTGCTTTAAATGGTTAGGTTATCTTGACCTCATTTACACTTTAGAATCAAAGGAAATTAGGTTCCATTTTACTACAAGCAACCTATGATCATTGATGCCTTCTGAAAATTGGATTGGGAAGCAGAAATAGGGACACTGGAAGAGAAATAAAGCCAGAGCGACCGGAATACATTGATGTCTCTTAAATGATGTAACTTTGCTGTATATGACTGGAGAAATATATATATATATATATTTTACAATGACTAGTTCTAATTTTCTGAATCACCAGTAAAAGCAGCTGAACCATCTCAATATTTTTGGTTTCTTTTTCCTCCAGCTTCAGAGACATTGAGAATCCCCAGCAAGACTAGCAATTCCTCTGCACCTTCAACTCTAACACTTCCATCGTACAGTGGAAAAAGCGGTAGTTTTGACAGTATTCCTACTCCAAGATCCGAATTTGAGATATTGTCATCCCCCCATGTTAAATCTTTTCCATTTAGTGAGCTGAGGAATGCAACAAGAAATTTCCGACCTGACAGTCTTCTTGGGGAAGGTGGATTTGGTTATGTCTTTAAAGGATGGATTGATGAGCAGACTCTTACTCCTTCAAAGCCTGGCTCTGGAATGGTCATTGCTGTCAAGAAACTGAAGCCCGAGGGTTTCCAAGGCCACAAAGAGTGGTTGGTATGTTTCCTTTTCAATTTTGTTTTAATTTTCGATGGCTTTATGTTTGGCCTAATCACTGATGCAAAGATTATCCGCAGACAGAAGTCAATTATCTGGGGCAACTTCATCACCCAAATCTTGTCAAGCTCATTGGGTATTGCTCAGAAGGTGACAATCGGCTTTTGGTTTATGAGTTCATGCCGAAAGGAAGCTTGGAGAACCACTTATTTAGAAGTATGATTCATACTGTAACGAACTTTTTCTTCACAACATGATTAGTTGATGCCCATTATACCATAAAAGTGATTTTAAAGTTTATCGGTCCTCTGGGCTTGTTTTATGTGATATATGGGGTCATCTTCAGATTGTTAGATCACTTGCGACTTTGGTGGCTATCTTGAACATATTATGATGCGTCAACCTATGGTTTCTATGACAGGAGGAGCGCAACCTCTCCCTTGGGCTACAAGAATGAGGGTGGCAATTGGTGCTGCCAGAGGCCTTGCTTTCCTGCACGATGCTGAGGAACAAGTGATATATAGAGATTTTAAGGCGTCTAACATTCTTTTAGACTCGGTATACTGAATTGCCTACTTTTACTAAATTCAGTAACTGAAAGATGGTCTGTTTTGTTGAAACGGACTTACATTCTGCTACGTTTGGTGCTAACTATGATTTGAAATTGCAGGAATTCAATGCAAAGTTGTCTGACTTTGGCTTGGCCAAGGCAGGGCCAACTGGTGATAGGACTCATGTATCCACCCAAGTTATGGGAACACACGGCTATGCTGCACCAGAATACATTGCTACAGGTACATCATAGACGAACTCTTTTCGTCTCTCTTAGATATATAGGATGATAAATTGTTCGAATTTGTGTAATAAAGTGTGTGTAAACAAACAGGTCGACTCTCGGCAAAAAGTGATGTCTACAGCTTTGGAGTGGTTTTGCTTGAATTGTTATCTGGACGTCGTGCTGTTGATAAAGGCAAGGTTGGTGTGGAGCAGAATCTGGTGGACTGGGCAAAACCATATTTAGGTGACAAGAGAAAATTGTTTAGAATAATGGACACAAAATTGGAAGGCCAGTACCCTCAGAAAGGAGCATTTACAGCTGCTAACCTTGCCATGCAGTGCCTGAACCCCGACCCAAAAGTTAGGCCACGCATGACCGATGTTCTAACTGCACTAGAAGATCTCCCAAGCCCTAAAAGTTTAAAACACTCTCCATCAGAGTATCAAGCATCGCCTGACCCTGCTCGCCATTCTCTGAAACAAAATCGTTCACCCCTGAATATGACTCCTTGTGCTTCCCCTTTGCCCACTCAACTGAAGTCCCCACGCGTGAGATGAGTCAGAAGATGCATCTAGCTGAGGCTTCCCATGTACATTCCTCCTTTATTTACCCTTTCTATTCCAAATTTTGTTCTAGGTTTTGTTCTATGTAGTAGTTTTGCAGCTCCTATGGTTCCACAGGATTTTTGTACGTGCAAGTGCAACAGATATACCAGACTTGTAGAATGTATCATCACCATCCTAAGCTAAGGCTAAGCTTCTTTGTCTGTATAAGATTGGAACATATGTATTTTTTTTTTTTTTTTACCAAACGGATTGGAACATATGTATGATATTCCTATTTAATTAACAGATGGTATTTTTATCTGGAGATCCATGCCACGTTTCAGTCCCCCCCCCCCCCCCCCCTCTTTTTTTCCTCAAACAATGCTCTATTCAAACAGTTTTGGCATATGGGAAAATGTTCCAGTGAACCCGAGTTAAGTCAGATATGAAAGTAACCAGTTTGATTACAAACTCGACAGTGTCGGGACATGGTGCATAAAGTTTAGTTTTGATTTAGAATTTCTTTTTCTTTATATTGTGAAATTTTCGGTCAAGTCAACCAAAGCACGACATAAATTTTAACGTAAATGACCTCCCTTGTATGCCAACCAAAAAGCGTAACTCCAATTATTAAGTAATTTGAAAAAGTTGGCTGAAGGAGTCAACAATATTTTTAAGGGAAAATTTCAGAAACCTCTCCTGAACTTTGCAAAATATCAGATACCTCCCTTGAACTTATAGTTGGAGTAACAAGATCAGCCCATGTCAAAAAAATGAGCATTAAAAAAATATTTTCAGGAGTGAGATGATATTTGTGTTCCACATATCTCCTTTTTGTCTCTATCTGATTCAACTTATTACTTTTTTTTTTTTTTTTGCTTTTGCTTTAGCTCAAGTTGTGGATAAGCAAAAAGGGCATATGTGGAACACAAATATCATCTCACTCCTCAAAATATTTTTTTTATGCTCATTTTTTTGACATGGGCTGATCTTGTTACTCCAACTATAAGTTTAAGGGAAGTATCTGATATTTTGCAAATTTCAGGGGAGGTGACTGAGACTGTTAGAAACCTAACCTCAGGGGAGGTTTCTGAAATTATCCCTATTTTTAAATCATGAAGAGCATCTCTAACCAACCAACCAACCATCAGATTTCATTAAAGAGGACGGCATATGTTATGACTTTTTTTTTTTTTATCTAACTCATTGAATCCATTCTCCACAAACAATGCTTACCAATAAAAAAACTTATCTATGGTAACATGTCAAACATGATCAGCAGAACAGCATCAAAACTATTGCTCCAGATGAAATCCCTTTTAGAGCACACCTTCAAGTATGGATAAATTTAACTAAATGAGTTTGTTTGTCACCTATAATCAAAATTACTGCTCCAGATGAATTCCGTTTTAGAGCACACTTTCAATTGAATCCAAATCACTACAATTATGAGCATACCGTGAATGAAAAAGCATACGAGCAACATAATAACATATGCCTATGATGATGCACCACTCCACTCTTCCATCTCAGTGATGGATTTGATTCTGATTTGGCATCGATCGACCCTCATAAATGAGCGAATACATATATAGTATTATAGTTTTTTCTACTTTCAATTTTCAATATGATTGGTTAGGTAATTCATTCCTTTGGGGAGCAAGTATAGAAACTACTAACATGAACCTAAAAGATGCAACAAAGTGGCCTCAGGCCCTTCATTTAAGAATCACATCATATACTCTATTATAATAGTTTGTTATTATCTAATTAAAAGAGTTTCCAGTTGTTGTGGGTTGGACTTTCATAATTTCTCACTCAACCTCCCTCGTACTATATGTTCAGCTCCAGAGGATAGCTTAGCCTTATCAAATGCAGCACCTACGTGTAATAAAAGATTGGTAGATGGGATAGGCCGCCTGTTTACGCGCGTGTTCGAAGGGAAGATGATGAATTTATTATGATTGGAAGAATAACAGAAGACAACTTTTGAAGTGCTCCGCAGCACTTAACTACTAAACCCCCCAAACCCCCCCAAGCGATGTGGGAACTTAACCCACATCTTTGAAACACTGTGAGTTATGAAGTGTCTTCGCAGAGTCCATTTATCGAAACACTCATACAAAAAACTGTGAGTTATGAAAGGGAAGAATAACAGAAGACAGTGACGAGAACAGCCCGTGACATTTGAGAACTCGTTTAAAGTTTGGGTCAGAACATCTTTGATTTGATTTGTTTTTTAGACGGCAGAAGCACAGTCATTGGTTGGGAAAACTATTTGCGTAACTTATTGAACTTGTTTTCTGACACTTGAATTTTTTTCGTTGTAGCATCAAATTGGGAAAATAGTAATGATAATTTGACTCGTGACTTTTATACAAGGATCGAATTCACAATATAATTCCCATGATCACTTGATGAATGGATTGTATCCATCCCATGCTAAAAGTGATATTGTAAATCTAGAGCACGTAAACATCAATTTGCGATTTGACTTGATATAAATCTATTTTTATACTCGAAAACTTTCACGTAGAAGACCTCTGTACGAAATCTCTTGTTACAAAATGCTGCTATATTGGTGTCAAGAAAGTACTTAAAGTGTCTTCCAAGTTAATATATAGTAGCCCTTTGGCTTGAAATCTTTACTGATTAGAGGATGTATTCAGGAAGTAGAGGATTGTGAACTTCAAGATGCTAATTGTGAGAGAACCAAAAAAAATAAAAAAAAAAATAGGAGTTTGTAAATAGAAGGAAAAAGGAATACTGTTGAAAAGGGAAAAAATCATACAAATTGTTTTGCAAGCGGTAGCTATTCATTCATATTAGTATATGCTAACTATCTATCTTCTTACAAGTTTTCATATGCTTTTTTTTTTTTTAAAATTAATTCACATGATCGAAACTGGTAAGTGATTAGGCATAGACTTAAACCTGTTTATTAAGTTATTTGTAAAAGAATGCATGATGGATCGGGAATATACATGTATAGTTGTATACAAGTTTCATTTCATATACCGCTGTGTAGCTATCTACAAAAACGGATAGCCAATAAATGCAAGAACAAGGTGAAATTTAAACTAACTGCGGGGACTTCTAGAGCATGTATTTGAATTACACTTGAACTTCAGTATTATCAGTGTTAGCAAAGCACCATATAGAATAGATAACTATAAACACTGAAATGTTTACATTTCATTGAAAGTTCTAAACAAAGGCAGCCAGGGCAAATAATGTACCTGTTGATAAACGACTTTAGTTCGCAAAGGTCAAATGAGTCCCTACAGCAAAGGATTATCAGTCAGACGTTTTGCGAGATAAGAAACTTTTCCTCAATAGAAATTTCAGTTTTAGAAGCACTTCAGCATAACAAAGAAGCATTGTGAATCTACGTGTGCATGTTAAACAGTTTATACCTATGCTCTCAATTCCATTAAGTAGAGCAATCCTTATTTCTGTTTGGTATTCTCTCTATACACACGCAATCACATCCATACAAACAATTGAATTATTTTTTCATAAAAAATATTTAACCGCTGGGGAAATGATTTATCAAGGTCAACAGGACTGAAATTCATCTCTACCTTGCCAGGAACTGTGTGTGTGTGTGTAAACCAAAATCTCATATATATATATTCAATATCTGGTGCTCTCTGCAGCCCCTTGTGCATGCTTTACCTCATGATCAGCTCTGAAGAGAGATGCCTGGTGCCAATCGAAAAACTCGATGGATTTAATATAAGGCAACTGCATATGTGAAAATTGGTGCTATGTATCATCAAATGGACCCGGGAGTTCCCCCAAACACTTCAGTAGGCAGCAACCTTTAGCCTAACTGAGGCAAAGAAAAAATGAGCCCCAGTGAAGTGTTCAAGGGAACTCTAGAGAACATCTAATGCTTTGTCATCCATGTTTTTGCCTCTGGTTAGGGCACCCTACTTATAGGGCTCTCCGCTCATGCAGTCCCTGCATGTGCTCACTATTATTCACTAGTCGCATTTTGTCCTCTGGAGGACGCATGAACCTAGTCATGATATAGCGTTAAATGAAAGATAGATAACCAACATACCTTGAGTGGTCATCTTTGTTCAATTTTTTCATTCACTAGGCATCCCCTTCATCTCTCGTTTTCAACTTTTTGTTGGCGAGTTCGACTTTGTTATTTATCCATGCATGAAAGCATGGCTTATCTGTCAATCATATATGTTTAGCAGGAGCATACAAGTAGAACCACTAAACCTTGTCCAAGTACAAAAACAGACCTGGAACCAATCCATGTTATATATACCAAGAATTACAGGATTGTTTATGTAAGCAGTTTGAATCATTTTCTGGCTGTATGATTTTGCTGATAAACCTGGGGAATAAGGATAAGACTAACGATTAAAGTGGTCCTGCTCAGGAGGATACAGCAGGAACTAGTACGTTTGCTGGCTTTTTCTTCAGACCACCCACAGGAGATATTGCTCTTATCTTTTCACTTGCTACACAATTCTGACTAGGTTCGAGCATGAAAATCAATCTGGATTCTGGAGATTTGATTTTCCAAAGATTCTATTTTTGGGCAAGCTGTCCTGATCACAAAGACCACCACTGCAGAATGCGCGAGCAATGTATGTTTTATAAGACAGAGGGGCGTTGGACGGGATGTTTTATATCCGTTTAAGCAGGGCGAAAGTCCTTATGCCCACAAATTTTGATTTTTTAAATATACAAAATATAAAATGATATTACAAAATTGTAATATTCATATATAGATATATGTGTGTGTGTGTGTGTTATCAATACATATAAAAAATCGATAAAATTAAAAAAAGTTTCTAACAAGCAATATTCATCTTTTCGCCCCTCTCTCACTCATGCAATATTCATCTCCATGCCGTTATTTTTAATTCTCGATCACATACAAAATAATCTTTATGTGTGTACATAACATGTATATATGTATGAAAGTATAAACTTTTAAAAGCATTTAGTATACGCATCGGATGAATTTAAATTACTTGGCTAATTCACTTCCAGTTTAACTAATTTTGCTGTCCTCGGCGACCAGATGACACGGTAAGAAAACATAAATAGACATTAATGTGTTTGAAATGAAACTTGAAAGTGTATCTATATCAAGGATCCAAACTACACTCAGACTACTTAAATCCTCAGCTATTTCCGCGGCCCTTTGAGTATAGCTCTCGCAGAAAAAATGCCAGTTCAAATTATCAGGGAAATTTGAAAGCAGGAAATAAAAATTTTTAGCTGTCATTTGATCCGTGATGCAAACGAAGGTAGTACTACTGGAGTTAGATTAGAGTGTATAGGTTACAACTTGAATACGTAGACAAAATTCCAAGTTGCTGGTTTCTTCTTCCACAAATGGGTAGATGTTTTGTTTAGTGTATGTATAGGCTATTTGGTTTTGTCTATAGTTTTATTTGCTGATTGCATATTGGATTGTACCACAGTAATGTTTGTCGACGCACTTTTAGGGCTGTTTTGACCAATGGAAACTTAATTTATAGTGTGCTCAAAAGGGCAAAAAAAAAAAAAAAAAAACGTCAGTCATCTTGCTTCTTACTCCAATTATCTGGCTGCAAAATGTCAGATCCACCTGTTTGAAGCAATATTAAAACATGGTAAAACAATAGAGTAAAATGGTGCTCAAATTAATCACTATTCAATTCGAAAGATGCTGAATGTTGTAGTTCAGAGTTGAATATTGATCTAGTAATTGAACTGCACAGTCTGCACTTACACTTCAGTCCTTGAGATAAAATCAAGTGAACCCGGGAGTTCCCCCAAACACTTCAGCAGGGATTAATGATAAAAAGTGAGTCCCTCATGAAGCGGTCAGGGGAACTCTAGGGAACCACCTGATGTTGTTAACTGCTCCTGGACTTGAATAATTTGCCTTTGTACGTATAATGCTCCTGATGTTGTCGCACTAGCTAGTATTTATAGATCACAGCCCCTTTTGCCTGCCTCTTCAATTGAGCTTCAAAGTATAAATTCCTTATGCTGAGGCTCTAAGATTTGCCAGAGAATTGCAGATATATATGGTGTGCCCAGTCGCAAATGCGGGCAATGGGAAAGAAAAAGAACTTTGGTGAATTTTGATTGTGGTCGCGTCTACATCTGCCTTTTGTTCCCCTACCTCTTCCCTGTGATCTCTCATTTTCACAGATTTTCCCTACCCCAGAAAGAAGGATAGTTTGTATTATAGTTGGAGGTTAAAAACATGATCATAATCTGATCGCAAAGTGACTACCCACGGTCGAAAAGTACTGAACTTGAAAAGAAAAAAAGGCATAGATCGAGATGAAAGATTCAAGAATCTGGTCACCTTGCAAGTGTCATTCTCAATCCTTAATTCGACACGAAATATGGACCAGGTTCAAGGTTAGACATTTCCCTGTTCTGGATGTCTTATTTTCATGCATGAGAGCCATTAACAAAGAATATGTTAATAGGCTCTTTTATCTTTTCATTTTCATGGCCGCATAATGTACATGTAGACTAAAGGAGCAGAAGAGATAAGGCACCAAATGCTTTTCCAGATTTATTCCTTAATCTGCTCCTGGGAGGGATCGTCCCTAACGCTTCCCGTCGTGGCACGGGCGGCATTTTTCGAGTCATCCGGGCGAATGATACACCACGCCGACTTTTGGAAAAGCAAGTACATTTCATCTCAGCATTTTCTTTTTATTTTTTGGTGGCAGATAAATTTTCTTCAATTATCATTTTCAAAATGCTGAATCTTTCTAGAGGGAAGCAATGCAATTTTCCAAAACCTAATCATACCCAAAAAGCAAAAGGATATCGAAAAAATTCGACTTTCTAGAAAAGAAAATGACTTAAATAACCGTGAATTTGAAGTTACTTCCTTAAAAAAAAAAAATAACATTACAACCATAAGATGTTTGACTTGACTTTCAAATTCAGAGTCCTCTAATTAATTTCTCTCATTCCTAATAAGATTTGGAGTTTACTCTGAAAAGGAAATGATTCATTTGGAAAAAAAATACCTGCTGCAGTTTAAATGTATGTATGGTAGGCTTATTATTACTTAGGGCGGTCCACCTTAATATGTCTATACACGCCAACCCTATAGAAATTACAGCGCCTTCCACTGCAGGGCGTTGTAGAAATTACAGCGCCTTCCATCTTAGGGCATTAGGGTAGCAGCCTCAATCGATTAATTTTGGATAAAATACACTAAACCCTCTTGTAGTTTGGATTATTGTCATAAAGCTTCCTCATTGTTTAAAAGCCCCCAAAGAGTCCTCTCGTGATTTGGATTAATTTGGCCAGCGAATGGAAATCATCCAATTTGACAGAAAAGTATAAAATTTCTATATTAACCTTGTTTTTAAACTATACTAAAAATTAGTTCAGGATTTACATAAGATTTTAAAAACTTTCTTGCTTCATTTGAGTATAAAAAAACATCAAGTGGCTCATTTGAAAATTTAAAAACTTATCATCTTCTCCAAATCGCCACTTTTCCTTCTACGATAGCAGCAGTACAGAGAGTCAACTGAAAATCCAAATCAAGGCAAGACCCAAATTTCACTTTCTTAATCCTCTCAAATCTTGCATATTCATGGAAGAATTTAGCACTGTTGTCATCCCATATCAAAGAACTCCATGAAAGAGCAAAACAAATTCCAAACTCCTCGACAAATTCACAGCCCACCCACGGTAATTTTGGTACCGCTACCAACGCCGTTGTCAAGGTTTCATCATCAGCAGCAGCAGCAGCATTATTCTCTACTCAAAATAGAATAGTAGAGGCCCATCCATTTTTCTTTTTTCGTTTTTTGTTTCCCTTTTCACCCATTTCCTGAAATCTGTCGCAAAATATAATTGCTTCCGTGATATTCATGAGCTGCCGAATGAGTCAAATTTGAAACTTCACGATACATTGTTGCTTATAATGCAAATATCGGAAACTGCATCAGGGGAGCTTATTTGATTCGAAATGATCCAAATTAGTTAATTGACGCAATTATTTTTTTTCTATAACAGGCTTTGTGCCTCCAAAGCCTCTAGCATCTTAAAATGAATTAAAACTCATGGTCATGTTGCAGTCCATTAGCAGAACGTATGGAAAGCTTATTTACCTTCTCATGACACTCGGCATGACTACACTCTCGGTACTCGTACAAATGCAAGTATTTCTTGTACATGGTACAAGCCAATTTCTTTATGCCATTTGACTAAATTACGTATGCTAACAGGAGGATCGAGTACTGTGTATGTACTCAGGTTCGAAATTCAATGTTTAAAAATATGGTATAATTTCTAAGAAATATATGATTGTATAATAAATATGTTTTGCAATCATTTCTTTACGTCGTATACATTATATTATAAAAAGTGGATCAGTATTACTCTAATTTTTTTTTTCTAAAAAATCTTATATCCAAACACATGTCTTTTTAGTGGCTTTTTGGCTATTCAATTTATTTATCCCGGGCCAAATCGTAACATATTGACAATCATTCATTCCACCCTAGACCCAAATATAGTACCAGCGGATTAATCTCTTCTTCTCATGAATCCAAGCATAACATTGACATCAAAAAAGTGAAAAAAAAAAACCTAAAATAAAGGCTATTCTTCGAGAAAGGAAACTAAATTTGTGTAATCTAGAGAGATATATATATATATATATATATATATATATATATATAGGAAACGTAGTAACCAAAACCTTAAACATAGCAAACCCCGGAAAGATCAAATTTTTTGCTGTTTGGACCATACGTAACCCATGTTCATTTGTTTGCCTGGCTGCATGGATGAGACAAAAGAACATAACGTCTTCAAATGGAAGCTCCCTAAAAACTTGACAATATTCTCAAGATGTAACCGTCTTCCAAAATTGTATACCCAATCCATGCACGTTGCTTTATATAAAATTATATACCGTAATGTTTGTTTATTCACGTTAAATCTCGACGAAGTTCTTTATCAAATATCACCTTTTAGACAGACTAATTACAGCGGCACCAGTTTTTATCCAAATTGAAGCCGCCATAAAAGTAGAGAAACTATTAGATTAAGTCGTCAACTTGTAAGCCATTATTATTACATCAGTATTTTACGCCTTTATATATCTACTTATAACTAGCTTTCTACCTCCAAGTATTTCCAGCTTTAGGACGCTAAAGACTCATGGCATTTGCAGATTCCTGTGTGAGAGCATATAGAAACTTTGCTCTCCCATTCCTGACATTATGTTTGATTGTTCTCGTGGATAACGCAGCCGCGGAAGTAAGTGCAATCCCCTCTACATATTACTAGCTTTCTTTGTGCCCTTTAACTAAGCCGAGATTGATGTTAATTATTCCTAATTCTACATGGGCTAAAACAAAAAATTTCTTTTGCTTTCCTTTCTTCAACTAATCTACTTTATGAAACAAATTCCTTGACAGTGTAGGATCAAATAAAAAAAAAACGAAAAAACTATATGACAAACTTCGATGTTGTATATGTAACATTTCCACTTACGAAACATATTAATTTCAGTGGTTGAATCATGGAGGTGCCTTAACAAATACAAGGAATGCCGTCGTACAAGAAGTGCTGATCAATCCAATCAGTGTTAGGAAATTGAGGCTGAAATGGAGATTTATAGCCGGCTTTGATATATCAGCCACCCCTGCCGTGGCCAGTGGAGTTGTGTACTTCCCATCATGGAATGGATTTCTGTATGCCGTGCGCGCGGACAATGGAGCTCTCATTTGGAAACAAAACCTTGGAACCTTAACTGGGCTGCCTCCAGTTGGGGCAATAGTGAACGTTACGGTATCAAGATCCACCCCAACTGTGGCTGGTGATCTTCTCATCTGTGGAGTTTATGGACCTGCGGTGGTGGTTGCCGTCAGGCGATTAACCGGAGAGCTGGTATGGTTGACTCGCCTTGATCCCCGGCCTCTAGCTCAAATTACTGCATCAGGAACATTTTACTCGGGGTTAGTGGATTTGTTGCATGGGATAAATTCTACCAAGGCAGTAGATTTGTTACATGGATGTAATAATTTCTTAAGCTTCAAAATTGTCGTTGTCTTTCTTCTTTTTCAGGGCATATTACGTGGGAGTATCCTCACTAGAAGAGCTTCTACCAGCCCAACAATGCTGCACATTCCGCGGAAGCATGGTTAAGCTGGATGCCCGTACCGGCACAATTTTGTGGCAAACCTATACAATTCCAGACAATTGTGGCAAATTGGGAGGCTATTCTGGAGCGGCTATTTGGGGAAGTAGCCCCGCGATTGACATTCTTAGAGGGCTGGTTTATGTAGGAACAGGCAATCTGTACATTGCTCCAGCAGAGGTTTTGGCATGCCAAAGGGCCCTAAATAATCAGACCACTCCACCAATTAATGTTAGCCAGTGCATTGGACCGGATGTTCATTTTGATTCCATCGTCGCTTTTGATATCAACTCGGGGCAAATCAAATGGTCGAGGAGATTGAGTGGCTACGATGTTTTCAATTTTGAATGCTTAGTTCCTAACAACCCCAATTGTCCACCTGGACCTAACTTAGATGCGGATTTTGGAGAGGCTCCGATGCTTCTTACTATAAATAATAATGGAAGGAAGCGTGACATTGCAGTGGCAGTGCAGAAGAGTGGCTTTGCATGGGCGCTTGATCGCGATAATGGTGACATAGTTTGGTCTATAGTAAGTTCTAAATAACTATTATTTGCAAGCTAATGGTTATACTAACTATAATTAAAGGTTAGCATTTTCATGATTTGACGCATTTTACTATGTCCATACAAATTCTGGTGTGCGTAGCGGGCAGGACCAGGAAGTAACCAAGGAGGAGGAATATGGGGTGCCGCAACAGATGGAAAAAGGGTGTACACAAACATTGCAAATGGTGATCGACTACCTTTCACCCTGGCACCATCTACTCGAACCACAACAGCCGGTGGATGGGTGGCTCTGGATGCAAACACGGGCCAAATCCTTTGGTCCACCGCGAACCCCAGTAATGAGATTTCTCCAGGGCCTGTGACGATTGTCAACGGAGTCCTTTTTGCAGGTTCTACTGCTCCTAATGGTCCATTTTATGCTATGGATGCCAATACTGGGGATATAGTGTGGACATATAACACTGGTGCTACAATTTATGGAGGGGCTTCGGCTAGCTATGGCTGCGTCTTCATAGGAAATGGATACTCAGTTGGGTTGGCTAAATTCCACCCAACCTGGACCAGCGGAAATTCAGTTTTTGCATTCTGTGCTTCCGCCTGAGGAAGCGAAGTGCAGATTAATTTAAGAGAATCCGAAAAGTTGGGATTTTCATTTAAGGCCTTCCACGAATAAGTGATCTCTACAAGAACTCAACTTGGTAGGAATCACATTTTGGAAGCAAATAGGTTTCAACATGCCAATCATTTTGAATTTCAGATGTCATATGCTCTCATCAACCTGAAATAAAAGCAAGAATACGAAAATTTGTTCGAGTTGGAATTTTGCATACATGCCATCATTTAATTTCTCGCTCACTTCCTTTCGAGGCCGCCGACTTAAATGTTCTTGATATGATTGCTTATTCCCCTCGTATTTCAAGACACACTAGCCTCTTGCCTCTGTGCTACTTACCAAAGTAACTATATGAGCTTGTACTTCCTTTTGAATCTGAAGACATTTATTCGATGCCTAAGATATGGAATGTTTCGTAGAAAATTTAAACAAAGGAGGAATGAAACCAAAGTGTGTAGCGTCAATTAACATTTTGGAACATATGCATGTGTACACTTATTAAGAATTAATTTTCTATTTGCTCGCAATATATTATACTATTGGTTTAGATGCATGCAACATATGCACAGAATTTAAGTTCTAATTAGAACGAAAGACGAGGGTACATACTCAAATGTTTATATTTGCCTAAATTTCGTGCGTCGTATGATCATTTGCTGATGCACCTGGTGCATTGTGTTTCTGCAATTTGTAATGCTGTTTCCAGGATACAGTTAGTTGTCCTCGCCATTAATCCATAACGCTTAAACACAAGGGATAGACTGTTGTATTAAGACATTGTCAGATAAATCCAATATAATTATAGGGCTGCAATGCATGGCTTAAAATCTTGAAGTATTTTTCAGGCCATAGGGATTTGTTACCGAGAACGTGCCTTCATAGTCCCCAGAATACGACCAATTTCCGTCGAGTAATAGTTGAATTTGCTACAGGACAGCATCAAGTAATTTGGACCAGTAATTTTCCGTTTATTCTTTGCCTTCTCATGAATCCTCTCATATATATATATATATATATAGACACATTCACACACACACACACACACACACATGAGGCTGGGCGTTCTGCACCTGGCCAATTTGTGGCGTGGTTGCATGGATAACTGATGAGAGAAGATGAACATGACGTCTACAATGGAAGCTTTCTCAAATTCCCAGGTCAATTTTCAGTATTCGTGTAACTGCCTTACCATAATTGCGCAGCAAATTCCGGTTGCTTTAATATGTAAAGTTTTTAATATGTAAACTTTACCTATGTTTTGAAGGTTGCTCGGGAATCTAGATTTATTTGCCGAATTCTTGAGTGTTCTCAAGAAAATATGAGAAAAAAAAATATGTAAAGTTTTTAAAATTGTGTCTAATTCTTGACCTGGTTCTCGCCCGCGCATCACCTTCTAAACTGGCAATAACAGGACAAGTATTGCCGGATCCAATTTTAGAAAAGTTCGAGAAAAGGGACTATTGATTTAAGTCAAACTCGCACCTTTGTCACAGAATCCGCCATACATGTCTAGAAGTTGCTCTCGAACTAATATAAAATGTTCCATGCCTTCATATGATATCATTATACCCACCTACTTGATGGAAGACGGGTGTACACAAACATTGCTGATGGGGATCGACTGCCTTTCACCCTTGAACCATCTACTCAGACGACAGAGCCGGGGGATGGGTGGCCGTGGACGCCAACACCGGCCGGCCGGCCGGCCATATTCTATGGACTACTGCTAGCCCCAGCAATGATACCTGTCCTGGGGCCGTTACAATACTGAATGGAGTCCTCTTTGCTGGCTCAGTGGCTTGTATTGTAATGGTCCATTAGATGCCAGTACTGTGGTCATATAACACTAGTGCTACTATTTATTTGTGGAGGAGCCTCTGCTAGCTATGGCTGCATTTTCATTGGGCATTCATGGATATTCAGCTGGCTTGGCAAAATTCAATCCAACTAGGACCGGTGGAAATTCAACCCTTGCATTCTGTGTTTGAAGAAGAACAGGCTTAAATAAAATGGAGGACTAGGCACATCGCAATAACTTTACTTCTGTTGCTTACAAGATAAACATTAAACTATACTCTTTGTTTGAGATATATGACCTATAAATTCTGAAGTTAACACATCACGGATCCATTGCTTAAAACAAAATACACACTGTTAAGTGCTTTAACTCTCAGACATCCTCTACATAACCCCACAACTACAAGAGATGGCTTTGTTCATATCTATGAAACTGAAGTCGTCTTGATCACTCTGGTCATCAGAGTTACGTAAGAACTAAGAATACCGCTGGAAATTCGATTTTTGCATTTTGTGTCTGAACTGTATATGAAGAAGAAAAGCAAATAAATTCCTGCAAAACGTAAATGAATAATTCCAATGTTTTACAGCAGATAATTAGATGATCTAATCTGTAGATATTGGCAGGTAGCACCGGGAGTTCCCCCAAACACTTCAGTGGGCTAGACTTGGATATTCATGCTTAGAAGAAGAAGGCATCTAAGAACTAAGAAGTCGGCAGTGAAGCGGTCAGGGGAAACCTGACGTTTTTCTTTCTTCCTCTTTGGGTGCACTTTTTAATTTGTACTGCTCGTAGATGCAAATTAAGAACACGATATTATTGACCTATTTATAGTGAAATTGAACATACTGGAAAACGTAGGCGAAGGAAGGTATGGTTTGCTGCTCAGACACAGGACCACAGCAGCCCCATGCGAAGAAAACTTGGTAGATGCATTAGCAGAACTCGAACACTTCACTGAGTATCATTCATCAAATTAAAAGATGGAGAGCACCTATCAATTCACTGAAGTGTTTGGGGGGAACTCCCGGGCATACCTGATCCTCAATGCTGCCTGACGTAGTATGCTAGTATAGTGCTAGCTTCGGCCTGCAAAAGTTGGCAATCTAATGCATTCCCATTCTAGGCGGAAGAAGGCATACGCTGGTTTTATTAGTTTTAGCCTTCCAATGCTTTCAATTTGCCATTCATATCCCGCGCCATTAACGTTAACTCGCACCATACGGTTCATGGTGAAGGCCAAGACTTGGATGCCAAGTTTAAAACAAGGTGGTAAAATGCCAATTCAGAACTCTACAAAACTTCATGCTACCCGTGAATATGGCAAAAATTATCCAGACATTTTCCCATAACATGTCCTCAAAACCTCCAAAATTCCATCAACCAAAAGCCTACATAACTAATCCTTCCAAAAACTCGACGATACCAGAAAAGACAATTTTTGGGCTCCATGCACTTCTTTTGTCCATTGCCATCCATGTTGTACAGTGACCAACTTACATTAAAGTAGCATGCACAAAACAGAGAATCACTATAGCCAGTAACTGTGTTTCACCTACTATACTCTGGCAACTTCACGTAAACTACTTTCTGCTGTATTTACCTCTTCCATTCTGCTTGAATCAACTTACCTGAAACTAAAAAAGACCATATATCAGAATGCAAGAGCAGCATCATAAAAACAAAAGGCCCATAAGAATCCTATGACAGTAACCACGGGGGTGAGAATTACAACAGATTAGAAGATGCTAGTAGCATGATTAAGAGCAGTTATGCAGTGCATGAAGAAAGTTCAAGTTCATTCAGGAAAACAACATGTTAAGGAACGGTAAGCAAAAATGTTCCTCAGTGAAAATCACAATAAACATTTGAATCAGATGGTAGAATAAACAAAGCCAGACGTGAAGAACAGGTGCTTGAAACAAATTCAAGATGCTGATTATTACTAAATTTTCGACACAACTAATTCAGCTGTGAATGTTTACATCCAAGTAAATTTCACGAGTAAGGGGAAAATTTTCAAACAGAATTTTCAACTTTATAAAATCGTATTTAGACAATTGCTATTTAATAGACTTCAAAAGCATTTAAAAAATGCAGACAAATTTTAGTGATACTAATATATGCTCAAAAGGCCATCATATTTAAGCTGTGGTTTTTTTTTTTCTTTTTTAAACCAAATGAAAGCATCTTTAATGTTATGTCTAGGTTTTTAAATATTACCATCTCTGGAAGATGAAAGAGATCTGTCAATTTTGATTCCTCCTTTTCCACTACCTTGAACAAGACTCTGTACTCGTGGAGATGAAGTCAGCTTCACATTGGTAGAAGAAGGCAATGAGTAGCGCCTAGGTAGACCATTCTTCTCGTATGCATCTTGTCCAAACCTCGGCGAGACTTGACCTCGTGCCTTAGCCTTGGCAGACTCAGTTGCTGCCATGTAACTGGGGACCTTTGTTTCATTAGTTATGCCTACATCTTGTTCATCATGCTTTGCAGGTAAAGAAGCTCTTCTCTTGTTAAACTTGGAGTTCTCATTGCCATTTTGATCATCCTTAGACTTTATGACACTAGGGACAGCTGCATCTCGATCGTCATGCATTGGAGGTAAAGAAGCTCTTCTCTTGCTAACTTTATGGTTCTCATCGCCAGATAGATCATCCTTAATATTCTTATCCACAACCAGAATATTCTCATTTTCCTCACCAAAAATTTTAGGTTGCCCATCAGAGTTAGATACAGGACAATCACATAACTCATCAACTGTGTCATGCCTATCTGGAAGATCTGCAGATATTACCTGATCAGTTTGTTTCAGTACATCCCCTTCCAAGTCTGCTTGCAGTTTATCAGATTGAGTATCAGTACTGTGTTCTGATAGCTCATGAGCTGGTTGATTCGATCCATTTCCATGAGTTAGTCCTTGTTTCTCAGTATCAACCTCTTTCTCGATGGAAGCATCTCTTTGGGAGTCAGAAATTTTCTTCAGATTACGCTTAACCTTCTCAACCTCATTCTGAGGATAACACTGAGCAGAATTGGTGGAGTGATTTGAAGTCCTCATTGGATTGCTTTTTTGTTTATCTGACTCAGTCGTATTATGACTTGAGCTAATGTGAACTGTGCCAGAGTGCAATCTCCCTGTACCGCGCTTTGCCCTGGTTTGACCTATTTCAGCTCTCCGATGCTTTGAACCAGCAATCTTTTTCAGCTCAGATTTTGGTTCCCATATGCGTATTGATGTCCACCGAAGAAGCCAATGCCATGCTGAATCTGGTTCCTCCACACCACATTGTAGACTTATAGGCATCGCAGTGGCTGACAGAGAGAGTAGCTGAAAGTCGTCGAATACGTGATGAGATACAATATCTTTGAACATCATGCATGTCACACAAAAAGAAT